TCTAAGCTTGCCGAAAAATTTCAAAACACCCGAGTGCAATATACATCCTTTTGTTCATTTTTTTCTCTGGATTTATTTCTATAGTAATACATGTGGCCTTCATACACAATAGAATCCTTCAATATATTCTTAGAGATTGAATATATTGAATGTATACCCTGCACAGAATGTAACAATATTTTTTGTAAAAATAAATTACTTCAGGGAAACGAAATGTTAACTTTAAACTTTAGCCAACAACATTTTATTCCAATTATATTTCAGCAGCTAAACTTTATTTCCATGTTATTCGAGTTTTATGTATTCTTGCCTATTAAATATTTATTATAAGTAATTGTTGAAAGAGTAAAAAGTTTATCAAAACTTCAAAAGTAAATGAATATGACTAATCTAATTAATGCATTGTATAAAGTATATATTTCTTTGATCTCATTTCGTTTTCAACATATTGTTTTACAAAATACAAGTAGAAAGTAGGCTTAGTATTTAATGAAAGTTTGATTACTTAACCTTTATGTGTTCAAAGATCAATATTGCTGACTCTGTGAAGTTGTTTTATATCCTTTTTCTAACAATTCAATCCTTGGAAACAAAATACATCCGATTCTTATTCCCTAAAATTTCAGGTGTAAATAATGCAAATCGAATCAGTGAATTAATTGTGATATAATATGAATAGAACGTTTTCATTAAGGCTTATAAAAATATATTTTGCGTTAACTTATACAAATATGTTAACTTATATAAATATTTTTGTCACGAAAATATGTATACTAATTTAGTTATAAAGTAAAACAAAAATTTGATACGCTTCAAAACCATTTTCGAAGAATGTATTATGGAAAAAGACATTGATGTACAAAAAAAATGAAAATTCGTTTAAAAATCATCTACTAGGTTGCATACTGCTGGAAAACTTTAAAATGAACTAAATAAATGTTAATTATTGGGTGGGAGGATACTCTATTTATAGAAATTTTAATAATGAGAAATAATTACATGAAAACTAGCAATAAAAATTTAGAATTAATATCAAAATGTATTTTAAGTTCGTAATTTTATTACAAAAATTTATTTAACTAAAAATCATTTAAAATTCCTCATATTAAATTTTTACATTTGCGTTCGAATTCTTTATATAGTCTTGAAATTAAAATAAAATTCTTAGAAAACTTTAGTTTATAATTCATTCATTAAGAGAATAAGATAATATAAAAATTATCATACATTAACTTTTACTTTGAAAAAATAATCAATACTTACATTTTATAAAAGTAATTCTAACCATTAATACTTAATTTTTTCTCATCGCGTTTTTACCTAAAATATATGCAATAAAACAACATCGAAATCACTTTCATTAAGAAAATAAGAAAAAATGGTCCAGACTTGCAGTTCGCAGAAAAGGAAACTGTGAAACTTTCTTATAGAATAATATACATGTATAAAACATTTTCTTCAAACTTCAGTTAAAGCATTTCTTCATTTTATATTAAAAACCCAATCAAAAGCCATATAAACGTCTTTTAAAATATATTATGATTTTTCAAAATTTGCAAGCTATCTAAGTGTAAAATTACGTATTAATACCACTTTAAGTATATACAGTCAGACCAGCTAAAAATATGCACACCAGATAGATCCGTTTCGATTCCTTTTGGTACAACTATTGTATGAAACAGTAGCAATTTATTTCTGTACAATGTTCTCTTTTGTAATGTAATTAAATAAAAACCCTATCTTCTAGTGAAGAGGAAATTAATTTTTATTTTTTATTTCTGATTAAAAAAAAGGTAACGTTTATATATTCAAATTCAGAATACAAAATGTGATTTTTTTTTTAAGCTAAGAAATCAATAACCTTATAAGGTACCTTAATTAGTAACCTCATAAGGTACCTTAATTAATAACCTTATAAGGTATCAAAATAATATACAAAATGTTTTCATGATTTAGTTTGTGAAAAGTATTCTTGAAAGTGTTAATGTATGCATAAAAATTCATCTACTATAAAAAAAAAATTATAATTTTAAATCAAGGTTTTTATATACAAAGATTTAAATCTATTTTGATTGCTTCTAAGGGATGTTTTATTTAAAAAATATAACACTTGAATGAGAAACTTTTAGAATTTAATGCTACGTAGGATCCTAGTATAAACAGCTTCCAGAATATTTTTAAATACCTACTACTTTGAATTTCTTCTAATGCGTAATCGTAAAAATAAAATCCTGTACAAAATCTCATCTCTTTAGATTTTCTTTAAAAATAATTATTGAAAATCCTTGAATATATCAAAGTAAAAATGGTGAGACATTCCTATGCATGCTTGGAACTATATAATTCGAATAAAAGCGCTTGTTCCCATGGAGGATTTGAAATTATAAAATATTCACATAAAAATAAATTTCTAAAACTCATTATGTTCTTTGTATCTTTTCTTTCATATCGTGTTAGTTGATGATAAGAAAGAAAACACCTTTCTTATCATCAAAGAAAGGCTTATAACTTTTCTTTTAGTTTAAAATTTGTATTATTTGCCTTCATGCTTAAATTCCTTTGAATATTTCAATTTTTTTTTATATAGAAGCTTCTAACTTCTGTATCGAGAATGAATGTAACCTTCAGTTTATCGAAATAATTGGAAACTCATTTTTCTTTACCAATCTAATCAATTTTTCAACAGCGTAATAATTGTTTTGCATTATTTGTTAAACTATTACCTTTATCATGTTAGGCTAAAAGTATTACTACATCTGACATTTTTAAATGTTCTTAAATTTTCAGAATTACAGTAGTTAAACTGTTTGATCAAAATCATGTTGTTGAAATACTAAAGAAACTGGCTGAATCATGTTTACTTTATTCTGAATTACTTTATTTTCAATAATTAGATACAAAAAATAAATCACATTCATAAGGTTTATGTGTTTCAAATCATTTAATTTATAACTACCTATAACGCACGCACAAATTTTTTTAAACGCCTATAGAGTGTAATGTATAGAAGCTCAAATTTATATCAGAAAATATTTTAATAAATGACATTTCTTAAGAATATGAATTTATTTGAAACTGTTACATATCATACATAAAAAGTTAAATTTTATGAAAAATCATTGTAGAATTTTCTTTTGGTTTCTGTGAGTTCTGTTCCTGAATTATTATAGAATTGTTGACCACCGCCTGTTGATACAAATGTTTTATAGTCATGTATACGAAATGTCATTTACCATTTCATTACACTGGTGGCCAATATGAATAATGGCAACGGGGTCTTCACAAGCCAATGCTGCTCAGAACCTTCATGTGTTTCAAAGGATCAATCTGAATCCTAAACTTTCATATCAGAAAGACCTGTTTCTGTTGTCTATGGGTCATAACCATTGCACAAAATCTCTTTTCAGCTCTTTTGGTCAGGAGATAAATAAACATTACTATATATTCCTCAGTTCATAAATCATAATGTCGCACCAAGAACAGTAATATCCGTTATTATAGTTTTCTGAGTTCTTCACATTGTAAGACAACTCTTTCTGCGTATCCCTCTTCATCGATGACCCAGGTGTCCTTGTACGCTGGCCAAGAAAGCAGTTTTCCTGGACCAGACACTAATAAGCTTCTGTACACTTCACAAACAAATCCACGTTTACTTCAGGTATTGGTTCAAATCATGTGGTGATCTGTAGAAAACAAAGCACCAAAGGCAACCAATCTAACGTTCTTAAAAGAAGAATCATAGAGGAGATGGAACCACATGGTTTGTGCTGAAACTTCATTGGAGGGTCACACTGGTCTGAATCTGCTCTGTGAAAGAACTCTGAATATTCTAGATTATTAAGAGATCTTTTTACTTCGTTTGTCAGTAAGTTGGCGCCATTAAGGAGGAATTAATCCTGGTGGACAGTAATACCCAATCGCACCGAGCTAGAGTTGAAGAATATTTCAAGGATTGAGTTTTGGAGCGAATGAAATAAATATCATGATCCTATCTTCCAAATCTGATAGAGAATCTTTGGGACTATCTTTCAGACTGATATATGCCTTAAGTTCTTTCCTAGACCTTTGACTTCCACTGCTAGTGTATGAGTGTTGTTCTCATTACATTGTTCAACATGCAATATATAATATAGAAGGATTAGATCTCTGCATAAGTATTGCATTGGATGTACGGACTTTCACATTCCCTATTAAACACTTTTCATTTTTTCCACAAAACTCTTTGATTTATTTTTTTAAAAAACGCTGATTTTTCGAAAAAATTTTTTAATTCCGTATAAATCATGGAGGTTGGTAAAATTATGTAAAAATCGATAACCGTTTAAGGCACATTTCTTTTAAATTTTAAATCGTTTCAGACATGAAAGACTGCATATATCTTAAATTTTGAAAACCAGCAAACACTTACCAAAATATATGGTTTCTTTTTCAATTCCGACTATATTTGTTCACACTCTTCTTATATAAATGACATGTTTCAAGTCAGAACCAGGCTTAGTTTTAAAAAAGGTCTTTATTCAGCGAGCTATCTACATGTTCTGTCGCTGAGAGAAAAAGGTGTGTGTTACCACTTAAGCCCAGATGTGAAGTACTTTCTTAATTATGGGTTATACTTGAAAGTTAATTCTGACATATATGGACTATAAAAAATTATGATCCGGGATCAGAAGTGTTTTGGGGTTGGGCCATCTGCTTCGGAGAAATAATTGGGTGATTAATTTAATACTTGAAGAGGAAATGGAAAATAAAAGTTAAGTGTTATATAGGGAATTTAATTTTAAATCTAATTTGACTATCCTTATATCGTTCAAATTTTCAATAGTTAATAAAATATTTTCTATTCATCCATTCAAGTTCTAATACATTTTTTAAACTTGTAGTGGATGGCACCTGATATTAATACAATGTTTTCGAATATTAATTCATTAATTAATGAATAATTAGTAACAAACAAAAATAATAGTCCAACACCATACATAAAAAATAAAACCACTTGTTGTGTCCTTGTAGCGTAATGGGTTGCGCGTTGGACTTCTAATCCAAAGGTCGTGAGTTCGAATCTCACCTATGATGGCCTAATTTCTGAGAATGGGATTTCTGTTTACTATACTATTTTATTAGAATAATTAAATTTAATTAATGAATAAAAAGAACCAAAAAATAATACCATATATAGAAAGGAAAACAGAACATCGCTTTCTATTTTGCCACTTAATATTGTAATTATTTTATATGTATGTACATAATTCTATTAATTGCAAATATTGTAGCGAAAAAAATAGTTCACTTCGGTTGCCATGAACATGGACTCACGTGCCCGGTTGCGGGCGACTTGCCAAAAATAACTTCTTTTGTTTTTTCTTTAGTATTAACTTTAATATTTGTGTCACTCGCTTATTTTTTTTTTATTATTTAATTGTAATTCGTTCTTTCTTTTATTTTTATTGTATTTGTATTTATAAAAGTTAACAGTAATTATAATTAGGGAAAGCTCTGGAAATTTCGATAGCACTATATAAGGAAAGGAAATATTCAATTTGTAGAATAAAGTCTTGAGTTGTGTCTAGGAAGAATTGTTGTCATTTTATTTGAATATCGAATTACCGTATTAATTTAATCTACGCTACAATATTTCATAAAAAGTAACTAAAATAGGATTTTTCTTTGTTGACCTAAGTAGGAATTGACTTTATAAAAAAATTTTATTACTTGTTTTTTATCAGATCATTTTGGTTTAGTCGAAAGTTGTTTTGATAAAGCTGATGATACATCGATAGCTTTGACAAATGCCTGCAAAAACTTTATAGAGATTTGATATATTTTAACTTTGGTACTTTTCGAAGTCTTTTATCCCAACACGTAAAACGATATCATGATCAAACATGACACCATTTCTCAAAACCCTTTGAAAGATACATCATCAATATTACATTTTATTACAACTAGATTATATTCTGTGGGCCACAAAGGATTATGTAACAGGATTATATTCTGAGGAATCAGCATCATTTATGTTCGTTAAATTTCTCTTCAATTTATTTCCCTTTCGAAATAAATTTAATTACTTTTGAGTGAAATGTTCTTGTTGAATCTTGCCATTGAAGTTTGTTCTGTACTTAGTTTTCATTTTTATTTCCAGATGTGTCTGTGTCTTTGAAATGTATTTAAAAGTTCTCCGTATTTCTCAGAAGGGTTTCTAAAAAGTCTTAATTGGCAGTTATACATAAACAATTCTAATAAGTATATATTATTAAAAATTCATCTCGGAGGAAAAGTTCACGTTTTACTAAGCATTTTTCTTGTGTTAAAATTACGAAAAAGGGCTTTATGCTTCGAAAGTTATTTCAAAGCAAAATTTATCTCAAAGCTTTTATGGAATTAAAATAAAATTTATGCTAAGTGAATCGGTACTTCTTTAATCTATCAGTTGATGCATTATCTAAAGTTGTTTGTAAACAAAAATACAAAAGTGATCGAAAAACCTCAATCAGAATATTTTTAAACATGCATGGAGGTCTTCATTTTTTTAGCAATTTCAGAAAGGATGTTTCCTTACTATAATTTTATTCTTGAAATACTTATAGCACTAAGCACTTATTTGATTAATTTCGAATTATTTAGGGATGAATACTAGACTAGTAAAGAGTGAGAGCTAAATAATTATTTTTCTTCAAACTTATTTATACAGTTTCTCAGATTCAGAATATGACAACAGTAAGCTTCTGTTGTGAGAAACAAAATTACATCACCAAAAATTGGAAAGATGCGTACAATTTGTAATTCAGAATTAATGCATACTTTAATAATTATGTCTAAACCTACCTAGATTTATTTCAGATCAAACTTGTAGCAAACGCTGTACAATAGAAGTGCAAAGATATCTCCTACACATATCAAAAATTCAACTCTTCTATCACTTCTTTATTCCGTCGTCTTTAATATCTTCTTTCATTTGCTTCTAAAAAGATTAAAAGAGCCTTTTGTACAAAAACTACAAAAAGTAATTCACTTCAATTCTTAATTTATTTGCATTCAACAACTTCAAAAAAGGAACGCGGGCTCTTTTGGAATGAAACAAAATAAAATAATATTAAATAACACAATAAAAATAATAGTGAATGTTTTCTGATTAGAAAAGAAAGTGCATCGAACAATCTTGGTATTGATACTAAATGGGTTTCGTAAAATTTTTTGTTAATCTTTTTTCGACAAAATTTCGAACAATATCTGTTTATTTTAATTTTTTCAGTGTCCTTTAAGAAAAAAAAACGTTATTTTGAGTTGTTTTCTAAGAAAAACAAAAAGGAAACGAATTTATATTTTGAATAATATTCACACACACACACCGAAAAAAAATATTATAATGCCTATGAACTTGGGCCAAATAGATTAAATTTACGTCTTAATCAGTTTTGGGAAATTGGGATGCATATTAAATTGAAATGTATGAAATCCAATGTGTTGCCAAAATTCATACTGAGAATATCGTTCAAAAAAATATTAACGAGAGTATAATCCAACTAAAACCGAGGCTCTTTCCATAGACGGTTGCGGCTCTACAGACTTCTATCTCTATGTATTATTAACAAGTAATATTAAAAAAATTAAGTCAATTCCTACTTAGGTCAAAGAAGAAAATTTTTACTTTAGTTACTTTTTATTTTATTTAATAAAAAGAAACTAAAATAAAATTTTTCTTACAATTAATATGAATATGTATATACATATGACAGAATTGTAATATTAAGTGGCAAAACACCTTTTAAATTAACATTTTTTACCACATAAACTTTGTAATAACCTTTTTTTAATAAAAGTTAAACATAATAGGTAAGACTTTATCTTAAAACCAGTGTAAAAGGAATGCTGACGTTTTACAAGCTTATTTCATTCAGGTTAAGTTAAATCTTCATCACAAATTTAACAGCTGTTTTATCCAATGCTGCTGCCATCTAGAGGAATAATATCGATTGAAATATATTTCTTAAACTATAGTAAATTAATTAAATTAAATTAATGAATTAATATTTGAAAAAACTGTATTAACATCAAGTGTAATCTTCTACAAGTTTAGAAAAATGTATTTGAACTTGAGCAGATGAATAAAAAGTATTTTTTATTTACGATTGAAAATTTGAACAAGATATATAAATAAATATGTATGGGGAGAGTGTGAACTAATATAGTAGGAATTGAAAAAAACAATTATATATATATATATACATATATATATATGTCTATTAAAAACATTGAGTAAGATAGTATTATTTACGCGCGCGACTGTTCACGTAGGAGATGCTCTCTTTCTGGGTGAGCACGAGTGTTCATATAAATGGTTCTCTTCCAAAAGTTTGCTGAACCCTGGTCTAAGTGATTGAATCTGTGATTTTATAAATCTGCAAAAAAGGCAATGTGTTGCTACCTTTAAATAGGAATTACTAAGTCTCATAGAATGCTTAATGCAGAGCTTATATATGCTTATCTAATGCAGAAATATGTGGTAGCAGTAGCCTAGTTTTATGGTCACAAACTCGTGACCAACGTGTCGCAGGTTCGAATCTTGATGACACTGAAGACTCGCCATGTCAAGGGGGCTAATACACGTTAAATCTATCGAGGCTAAATATCCTCACTTTGGAGTGGTAGTTTGGAGAGGGGTTGCTCGCTTAAGTGTCGTCCTCGTCACTTGATAGAGGTTTAAATTTAAGCGGTTGATCACCAATAGCTCCAGTGTTGCTTTAAAATCCGATTTTAATGTAGCTCACATTTTCTCACTCACTTCAATACAGAAGTAAAGTAAGGAAACATAGCTGTAAGCATAAATTATGAGGAAATCTAATCTTTTCAAAGATGTTATTATCAAAATGTTACTGTTTTTCCAACTTAATTGTCGATAAAAAACTTTCCATTTAAAAAAACAAGTAATATAAAAAAAATTTAAGTCAATTCCTACTTAGATCAACAAAGAAAAATTTTATTTTAGCTACTTTTTATTAAATAGTTACCAATTAATATGCATATGTATATACATAGGACAGAATCGCAACATTAAGTGGTAATTGATTTTTGTAAATTATCATTAAGGTATCCTATTATCCAAAACAATCGTGTATATAAAATTTCAGTTCAACTTAATGCTTTAAAACGTGAGAAAAAAAACATCTATTAAAGTTTTGACACAAGTCGCCAAAAGGGTCGCTAAGTCACCCAAAATGATGCCATCGTGACTGTATTTGTAATTCTTTGAATAATTAGTTTTAATCAATTTTTATTAATTATAATTATATTATTGTATTGTCATTCAAAATAATCATGTATATAAAATTTCAGCTCAATTGAGAGCTTTAAAATGTATTTTATTAACGATTGAAAATTCCACCAAGATAAATAAATAAATATATAGAGAGTGTAAGCTAATAGTAGGAATTAAATAACAGATAGAAAAATAAAAACAATCTTGCAGATGTAGACCTATATATGTAATTTTGTTATGTTAGAAATTATTCAGGAAATTGAGAATAATGTCAAGAAAGATATCATGAAAAGTTTCGGTGAGCCTCATTAATGTAGTTCAAAGAAAGGACATCTTGTGTGACAACTAACATCTCTTGATCAGCTTCAAAATCTGAAAAGAAAAGTTAAAATATATAACTCTACATATTTTCTTCAATAGTCTGAGACTTTTTGAAGTTAGTTCGGCATTGATGTATTGAAAGGCTTTTGATGTCACTCTCAAAATTGAAAAGAATTGTG